ATTGACACCTTGTGATCACACAGGCTGGTGTGCTTCTTCCATGTGGGCTTTGTTGCTTCTGAGCTAGATGGCCCCTTGTTTACCTTCAAGCCTTTAAGATCCCAGACGCTATATTGAAAAGCACAGTTTCTTATGACAACCTTCAAAGCCTTTGAAAGCTGGGCCTCCCTTCAGTGCTTTGGCCTCACTTCCTCTTGCTCCACCTCGCTTCTCCTGCCACCACACATTTCCTATTTCTAATCTCGCTAGACTTCTCACCCTCAGGGCAAGGCAGTCTTCCAAGTCTTCTACTTTGCTTTTCGGGTGCAGTGCCCTTTCTCAGGCAAACATCATAGACACAGCTCCAACATCACCTCCTCCAGGCCAGTCTGCCGTCTGTCGTCCCCTCCAAGACCTTTATCAGTCCCCTCGCGTGGCATATGCACAGGCACCGCCGGACTGGGAAAGAAGTCCTGGGGAACAGTGTTTGTTCCTGGCTTTCAGCCTCAAACCTGACATGCAGGGGTGCTCAGATAGTTCCTGAATGATTATAAAAGTTGAACACACTGTCTCATCCATCCTCTCACCTTCCCTCCCAATCCTTGGCCCAAGTCCCTCCCTCCTGTTCTTGCTCACACACCACCTTCATCCGGTTCACACGGGGTTGCTATTGCTGTCGAAGGTGTTCGAGGTCGAGGAGTGTGCTCAAGAGAGCAGCCCTGACGGCCCCAGGGGGAAGAGCTGAGCCCTGTGGGAGGAGGATGTGGCCCTTCTGCTTCTATCAGACTTGCAGCCTTGGGAGCCACCTGGGGACAGTCACTGCTCAGTCCTGCAGGGTCACTACGAGCCAGAGTCAACTCCAGGGCAACAGGGTTCATGGACTGGTTAGAGAAATGTTTTCAGGTCCAATATCCCCTTCCACAGAGCTCACCCTGAGTGGGTTGCTCCATCCATCCTCCTGCTGTGTCTACCAGGAGGAAGACGCAGCCTCAGGCTTGTCTCACTCAACAAGGAGAACTGTGTGCCCTGAGATCATTCCATGTAACACCTCACTGCCTTCCAGGAATTGATCTGTAAATTTACAAGTTTTGTTTGCCACCTCCTTCCTGGAAGGTTAGCAACACCTGCCTGACTTCTGTGGGTTCTATCTACTACTTTATGTGGCTCTTTTTCTGATAATTGGATCTATAATGGTTTGCCGGTTTGGGTTGACAGAGGGCTGGTGACCCTTCTTCTAGTGCAATGTCTTGGTTCTCCCTAACCAGTTCCCCTAAAAATGGAAACATATCAGAAAACAAACAAACAAAAGCCCAACAGTGCTAATCATAGAAATATATACCTATATCTATGTATGAAGTATATACAATTCAATTCTCTATGTGGCTCAATTTAATACATTTGATGTTTGGAGCACCTTGCTCTGTGCCTGCCTTCAAGTAGCTCACA